GAGGTTCCCGTGGGCAGCCGCTCCGGGCGGGGTTTTGCCGCACCGGGAGGAGGAACCGTCCCCGGGCACCGCCGAGAGGTGCTTCTGCTTTCGGGAGGGAGCAGCGTTCGGCAGAGGCGCTTCTGAAACCTGTTGGCTGCGGGGTCCCGGGACGAGCGACCGCCCGGGTTGTTCCCTCTGCACCTGGGACGCTGCCGTTGTCTCTCTAAGGTGTTCCCTCGTGTCCTCTGCACTCCTTCTGCCTGAGCTGCCTGGTTCCTGCGTGCTCCGGAGCATCTCCCAAACTGTTGTGGATTTGTCTGGCTTTGAAGGGTTGGGTTTTTCCTTTTTCTTTCTCTCTCTCTCTTTTTTTTTAATATTTATTTTTTACTATTTCAACTTTGCTGTGCTTCCAGGCGTCTGTGGAGACCTTGTGGGTGAATTCTGGCAGCAACTCTAAAAGAAAAACCAAACTGTTCTCCCCGCCCTGTTTGCCCGAGGCTGGGGTGACCCAGTGACACTGTTTGCGGTGCGTTGGGCTCGTGAGGCCGTGGTGTGTCCAGCTGGGCTGTGTCATGTTGGCAGAGCCAGGCACCCCAAGTTTTTGTGAGATCAGGGGCTTTTCTTCGTTACCCTGGTTGGCTTGTTACAGTCAGAGGAAAGCAGAAAAACAAGCCAGCTCTAGCCAGGAAGGAGGGGAGGGTAAGGGGGCTGTAACCCTGTCCTTGCATGTGGCTGCTGCCACCCGGCCCCTTATCACCCCTTCCTCCTCTCCTGCCCTGCCTTCAGCTTTATCACCCCTGGCTGAGCTTGGCCCCAGCTCCAGACGTGCCCCTCTTCCTGCCGTGCCCACCTCAGACTTGCTCATCATGTCTGGGTTACGCGCCCGATCTGGAGGCGCATGTACGAGAGGAGGTTTGCTGAGCTGCCTCTGTTTGCCTTGGCGGATCAGCTGCTTCGCCGCCGGGTCCCGGAACGGGGCTTGAGCAGGGTCGTCTGCAGCTGCTCCTCTGCTCTTCCTTATGGGCCTTCCCATTCCCTGGCCGGGATGGGGGCTCCCTGCTAATCCCCACAGCTGGGACATGCACCTCAAGTGCCAGAGAGGATTTGTTTTGTGTGCCATGCTTCCTTGCCCACCACCTGAGAGGTGAGGCAGGTGGAGTTGGACACAGCACAGATAATCCTTGTGAGGCTGGAAAATGGGGACAGAGTTGTTTGTTTTTTTTCCCAAAAAAAGGGAGACTTATGGTGGGGCAGCTGGGGGGATACATGGGAGCAGAAGCTGCTGGGGTGGTGGGAGAGGGTGGCTGCACGCAGCTCATGACACCCAGCTGTGCAGCTCAGCCACT